CCGTTACCTAACTGCCGCCGTTAACCGTTATCTCCGTCAAGTCCTGACGGAGCACCACCAGCCCCTGATTAAACCACCACTCGACTTGACGTCAGCACCGCCGCTTCAGTTGTTGATCATAACCATCACTGACCTGACCTGGCCGTTGACTCATGGCGTCGACGAGTCGTATAACCTCACAATCCCTTCCTCCGGGTCCACAAACGCCACCCTCTCCGCCCATACTGTATGTGGCGCAATGCGCGGACTGGAAACTTTTTCTCAATTAGTGTATTCAGAACCCTCAATTGTCGCTTCCGGGTTGTACATTTCCGACGTACCACTTTTTAAGCATCGCGGGATTATACTAGACACATCGAGAAATTATTACCCAGTGGAGGATTTGTTGAGGCTGATAAAGGCAATGAGTATGAATAAATTGAATGTATTCCATTGGCATATTACGGATTCGCAATCATTTCCACTGGTGCTTCCGACGGAGCCGGAGCTGGCTGGAAAAGGAGCGTACAGTGAAGATATGAAGTACACGATAGAGGATGTGAAGCTGGTGGTGGAGTTTGGGATGGAATATGGGGTTCGAATTGTGCCTGAAATCGACATGCCCGGTGAGTAAACTTTATCGACTATGCACATTTTTCAGTGATGGAAAATAAACGCGTTTGAATGTTTATTATTATGGAAAATTAATGCGTTTGGCGATTTCAGATAGTGATTGGCGGCGGCGGCGGCGGGGGTGGTGTTTAAGGAGTTGAAGATAAAGAAATAGATCTTCTGGGGAAATGGTGTGGAGGAATGGGATAAATAACTTATTGTTGATATCAATTTTTTTTAATTTTCGTGGCGTCACCTACAAAATGAACGAACGGTCGGGTAATCTACTCGACCATTAGAGATGAAGGTTTGCCACAATAGAAACTTAAAACAGTAAAGTCGATGGTGAGTTGAGATATATTGATATTGTAAAATGGCACAATGTTTCATGTTTTGTTAAGTGTTACATAGGTGAACTTTTAGTTTTTATTGGTTGAAATGGGGAGCGTGTTAGATCTACTCGAGGTTCTTACGTCGTACTCGACTACCATCTTGTTGAGGTTTCTGATTGGTTGGTAACTTGACTTTGCATATAGTGTTAGGTTAAAATGGCAGTGAATGTAATGATTGCCGCTGCCAAATGTTTCTTATGCTGGTTAATTTGGTAGTGAATATAATGGTTGCTAATGCTGCCAAGTGATGTTTCTTCTTGGGGAAGGGACGTCAATGCTTTCGAGGTCCAAATTGAGAGGGGAACTTGCCACATTCGTAATATCCTTCGTCACTTCGTTTGAACTTTGAAATAACCCTTCCTATACTATTTTTCGACATCCTGCCTCTGAAGGTGACTTAAGACGCTGCCCAGAATGTAGATGCGGTAGTTCCAAATCAACTTGAGATGGGGTGAACATATGGACATTCCGATGTGGTGCTCCACATCAGCCGAATCTTTACTAGTGAGGGCTATGGAACAAAGGATTATCTCAGACCTGCACCGAGGTATTGACGGTGAGTAACGCAAACATTGGTGAGAATCCAATGTCCCGAAAACCTAAGGGTTCCTCCGCAAGGTTTGTCTACGGAGGTTGAGACAGGGCCTAAGATCAGGCCGAAAGGCATAGTCCATGGATAACATGTGAATATTCCTGAGATGTCCTAAACCACTAGACAATGGCAACCACCCTCATACTATGATCATAGTATGAACAATTTTTTGAAATTGTCAATATAATGGAATGGTATGATTAGACTTGCCAAATCACCCCTAGATGTCCAGTCAATTGTTGCGCCTCGACGCATTTCGAAGAGAACCAGCTAGCTATAGGTTCAAGTGACATTTCCCCCCTAACCACAACTCATCCGCTTGAATAATTGAAAAATGAGATTATTCAGGAATACACATTGAATCCTGAAATTATGCATTGAATTTCTGGTGCGTGCTTGGAGCGCAACAATTTTCGACTTTAATCAACTATAGAAGTTGTTTATGTCAAAAATAATTTATGCTTAGCCAAATATCCAGTTCTTGTCTCTCCGGGATTTAAGAATTGGCAAATAGTTTCCAGTTGCACAATTGAGGAATTTTCAGAATGCTATTTCCACAACCTGTCAAGTAAAAAATAATTTTGCTTCTTAATTTTTTACTGTGTGATTATTTTTATTATGTAAAATCACTTAAAAGTGTTTTTTTTTTACAAACTGGTGAAAATTGTTTGCAACCAGATCATAATGCCAGCCTCATTTTTTGATCATCATGCAAACGCTGATTTGCTATTAGGTTGTAAATGATCTATGTTTAGAGTAATAAAATGTATAACCGTTTTGTCTTGGAATTACGAAGAGAGATGTATTTATAGATTTACATAGTAAATGCTGTTTGCTGATT